GTGTAGAACTGCATCATCGTCCGTGTTGGCAGGTTGAATTTCTTCAGCTGCCTCAGGAAGTACATCCTCTGCTGGGCTTTCTTGATGACGGAGGTGATGGTGGGCTCCCACTTCAGGTCCTGGGTGATGGTGGTACCCAGGAAGCGGAACGAGTCCACAGAGGTGATGGGGGTGTCAGTCAGGATGATGGGGGGGAGTGGAGCTGTGTGCTTCCTGAAGTCCACAATAATCTCCACTGTCTTCTGGGCATTCAGCACCAGGTTGTTGTGGCTGCACCAGGACACCAGACGTTCAACCTCCCTCCTGTAGGCAGACTCGTCCCCGTCCGAGATGAGTCCGATAACGGTGGTGTCATCTGCAAACTTAATTAGCTTGACAGACTGGTGGGTGGAGGTGCAGCAGTTGGTGTACAGGGAGAAGAGCAGAGGAGAAAGAACACAACACAACAGAAGATGCCTGGGACAGTTCAGCCATAACTTTAAACTTTTCCTGCTCATACATGCCTGGGTACGATCTTGCCACTAGGGGTGGGGGAAAAAATCGATACTGTGTAGTATCGTGATATTTTGTTTGCTAATAATGTATCGATACAGGGACAGCAGAAATCGATATTTTGTTACAAAAAAGGTTTTTGTGCTCTGACTTCAGAGCATGTTGATCCTTTTTCTGAGCAACAATCCTGACATTCGTTCACTGTCCAAATGTGTTTAACTTTTTTTTGGCCGCAATAAACATGACAGTTTACTTATTTTAATTTAAGACATGTTTTATTTTAATTAAGTTTACAACTTTTTTATTTAATGTAAAATTATATTTTGTTTTAATTTACTTTCAAATTCTTCAGTTGCTGAAGGGGCTGCATAGTTTTCATAAATTGCATAGTTCAGATTAGCTATAATTGTACCAGATGGTTGCATTCAGTTAAGTTGGACTAGACTGTAATACAAACCGTTCAGTTTGTCAACAATAAAACTGAAATGAGAGAAAGACTGAGTGCGAGACTTTGATATTAGATAAAACTAATATTGATAAAGTTTACCTTTATGTACAGAATCTGAATATCGCAAAATATTTTTAAAAATTGCAATAATATCGTATCGTGGGATGTATGGTGATTCCCACCTCTACTTGCCACTAAAGCGGACGCGCATCATAGCGTGGCTCAAGCACGTTCATCACAGTTTAAACCCCTTGTTTTGCACAACAGAATATGGCCTCCCGTCTGCAGCTAAACACCCCAACAGCTTTTGTAATAGCTTTAGCCCGGTCGGACTGGGCAGCAAAGGGCTGCTTAAATGCCGCAAACTCCTCTGCTCCTCCATTTGGACCGCTAGCGCTGGCCATAGCTATTGCTTGACAGACCCACCACGCCACCATACACGTACTTTTTTCTTCTTTATCGAATCTTCGGATCACGTGCGTGCCAAACCGTGGAGTGGGATCGGTTCGGATTACGGATCAACCGTGATCCGTTGTACCACTAGTATTAAGTATCTTTTTTTCCCTTGGTTTCAGCACAGGCTTTAAAACTCTAGTGTGGAGGATCAGATTGGGTCTGTTGTGCTAAAAGTGGTAAAGTAGCGCAAGTTATTTAAGAGGATGAGTCTGGGGTCCTCCCTCTGTAGACACTTAACACAGCCCATTTTGATGCACAAAATCAAATTAACTTTCCTGGGAATAAAGAAGAATTAATTCCTTCCATATTTTATTTAGATGAGAAAAGTCATTAAAATCAAATTATCTCTCAGCATTATTTGAATCGTTCAATATTAAAATATCCACAATTTAGCCATGATAAAATTATAAAAGGGATGTTAAAGGACTGAAACAAAAAACTGCTATTATGCTACATCATTAGGAATAAAGACCAATGGCATACTCTGCTTCTTATAATGTCCCAGTAAACTTGATAAACATGTTGTACAGTTGTCGCTACTGTCTAAATCAAGCCAAGTGACACAAAGCAGTGACTGCTAACAAACACACACAAAACTGAAAACACTGAAAATCTTTACCAGTCCCCAACTACACACATTTCAATTGCAGATGTTTTTGTTTAAAGCTTGCAATACTAGGACAATCATATTAGAGACAGAAATAATCCATGATCAAACAATTTCCACTTTATTAATCAAGTTAGTTGGTTGCAGCAGTTGCTGTCATCATGCAGTAAATGGCCACTTTATGATAGCTTGCACACTTTTTTCTCTCACTTGAAAGGTTAAACAGCTAGAAAACAGTGTAAGTGTTGCTTACGTTGAGTTTTTTTGTATTGTGAGCTTCGATACTCACCAAACTATAATAAGTGCTGGTAGAGCTTCTGACTGCGTATAACTTTTCTCTGCAAAACTCACTAAAAAGAAACCTTTAAACTACCTTTAGTCCTTTAAACGTCTTGAATGAAAAAAGCTACAGGCTACACTTCTCATGCAGTGATAGTCTTCTATCAAGTACACTTTTATTACTGGAAATCTGCCTCTTCTGTTTCTTGCATATACATTTAAGCAGTGTCTTTTAACAGGCTGAAGTATGAAATGATTACATTACAGCTAAGTGGCAGAAGCTGCTGCACTTATCCTAAATTATTCCATTTTTCATATTTCTTTTTAAACTATTGTTTGGCTTATTTACAGTAATCCTGCTTGCTTAGATCAATTTTTATGTTGTCATTTATTCTGCTGAAAAACTGTCAGGTGTCAGGAAATAATGTTAGGCAGCCAGCTGTGGCAGGAACATCGTGGTAGTTTTAATTATTATATATCATTACCTGATCACTTTGAGGAGTTATCCACTCAACAGCATTTTCCCATATTGGGTGTTGTTTTGATTGTATCCGAGTTGCCATGACAGTTAGCATGAGCAGACAAAGACATGTTTAACCTGCTCTTGCTACAGTAACTGTGTTGCTCCTCTTTCTGTACATGTTGACCTGACTTGGCCTCTCTCCAGCCAAACAGAAAATGTTGCACTTCTATTTGCTTTGACAGAATTCTCCCGATAAATCTGACTTTCTTCTTGCCAGTGTAACTAATATGTTTTTACATATGCAATCCACAATGATGCTGAATTATGTAAAGATAATTCAACATTCAGCTGATTGGATCAGAACTCGTGTTACATTTAATTATGAATAAAGAAAATCTGGGTAAAGTGCTTAATTTTTTTTTATTTTCACTATGAGATTATTCTGTCTTGCGTTTTAAATCAAATGAGTGTTTCACCTTAGCCAAAACTCACTCATTGTTTAGTTCTGTTGGAACAAAACAACAAAGTTTTACCTGGTGTATCCAAATGTAATCTCACAAGTGAAGCTCTATAAAGCCAAAATGCATGGAAGAGAATTCATTTGAAAACAATTAATTTCAGGTTTCTGAAACTACACTTGGTTCGCATGAAACCTAACCCTACCCCCAAGTACTTCAACATCCACTTGGTGAATGTTAATATTAACTAACAAGCAAATTAAATAACTGAGAAATAATTATGATTATGCTTTTTTCAATAATCAGAGACCCCAATCAAACAGAAGAATGGATTGGTTAAGCAGGGATTTCCCTTAAAATAGCAAAGTGCTTTTCTGGTTTATCATGCTTTAAATCTGACAATGCATTAGAAAAATCCTTTTCACTTGGGCCTGCTTGATTAACATTTCTTAGCATAAGAAGGTGAACCACTCAAAGAAAACAGTGCTTGTCAATTTCAAATTGCTTATCGTTTTCCTTATTGCAATGCCCACAGAAAGATAAACATAAAAAGCTTATCTTCAGAGCTCAGGTCACAAAGATGTGCTCAAACCTCTTAGGCTTTCTAGTAGAAACATTCAGCCCTGTGTGACTTACAGTGGAGTGGGTGATACATGAAAACATCAGGGTCTGGTTCTCATATTCATCATAAACAACCTGAGTTCACCTCTGGTGATAGCCAACCACTGCAGACTTGCATGCAGTTAAAGGAACTATGAACATCATTGACATTATACAACAAAAATACTGCATATATGAGAATATCCACCATTAATTAGTACCAACCATACCTATGTGCATAATTATGAATATGTTAAAAATAGCTGGTGGCAAATCAGTGGCATCCATTCAGAAGCGGAACAGAAAACCCAGCAAAAATAGGTTTGCCCTATTGATACTGGAAGATCTGATGGTAGTGTGCAATACCTAGTAAACGTTGCCTTTTCCCCATTGTTACAGGGATTTATGTGGGTCACAATTTACTCAGCAGCTTGACAGCTAGACAAACACCATCACTGGTGATATGCATCCCTTCATGGCTAAACCTTTTCTATTATTATTATTATCATGTCTCCAAAGAACAGAAGCAAACAAAAGGAAATACACAGATCATGTGTGGCTCCAGTATTTAAGAGGATTTTGTGGATGGGAATCCTCGCACAAAGACCGGAGGGGGTAAGCCTTTCTCTTCTGCTCGTGGTACATTACAAATAAGGAGGAAGAACTCAGTGCGACGCTGTAGGGCCCCGACATCTTCAGCGCCAATACATTCACGCCAAACATCATTCAAGAAATTAATTAATTTAATGCAGCGCTGCTTACCAGAGAAGGGCAAGGTTTTCACTGAAACATGGCTTAATGTCTTCATACAGCAGTCGCCACCCTTCAATTCGGCACGTGTAATACAGCTGACACAGTCTCAATTTAGATGTTTTATTACACAAAATAACAACTTTAAAGGATGTTACGCCCTTGCAGCAATAGAAAATTAAGCTACTGGGGAAACACGTTTGGCTTTAAAGTAAACCGCCTCTGAAAAGGCACTCTGTCTAAATGCTGCGGCTATGTACTTGATATTTTTGCTGACATTATGTACTGTTACAATAAATCACTCACTGTTTAAACAATTCAGCGTAACGTTTCCTCCACACGGAAGAGAATGACATAAATGCGGGTTACCGAACGCTGGGCCCGCTGCTGGAGACTGGCAGGATATGACACTACATCAACGTTAAGGCAACAATGGAGGCGACCTACCTGGGATAAAATAACCTGCCGGTGGATCATTCTCCAAAGGTAAGGGTGGGAATTCGAAGAGGTACACGCTTGCTAATTTCCATCGAGCTCCATTTCGTAGGCAAAGTGCAGTAGGAGTGTACACAAACGGCGTAGTGAGTCAGGGCCGATGAGGCACGCGAAAGAGGCTTCAGTCACATCCTTCACTCTTTCTCTGGACCAAAGTAAAGCTAGCAGCAACCGCGAGCACGTCCCAGGATGCGGCCAAAACACGCCGTCAGAAAACCGAATACCGCGAAGTTTTTGGTCAGTATTTTCCGAACTCAGCTTATCTGATATAATGAAACGTGACGTAATACTTTGTGTGGAAACCTATTCTATCCCAAATATTATTTTCATACAGTTTGTTGCATGACAATGTAAGAATGCGATTTCCGGTGGAACTTCCGGTCGTTTGAGGCGAATTTCTCGAGCTTCACTGAGCTGGGTACCAGTGTCTCTCAGCCAATCCGAAAGCGGGTTTTCTGCCTCGCGTGCGCTACCTCCTCATCTCTACTCCCTCCGCTCATGTACCTAGTTACGCGCACGCGATAGCAAGCGCTCGCATTACTCCCACCGCCAAAACAACAGAAGCTAAAGACGGAAAGACGAAAGGAAAGCTGGAACTTAGTTCAAGCAGGAAATGCGACTCCGTCCCAGGCAACCGTGTTCGCATTGTCGATGCTGTGCCTGCAGAACAGACATTTTCGTATGTATATGAATACAGGATGAGGATGAGTACAAGTGAAAGCTGGAAATCCCGTATTTCTGAAAATGTTTTCGTGTAAAGCAGTGTCGCTTTCAAGCTGCCAGCTAGTGACTACAGCTCCGGTTACCTAGGTGAGCCGTTGATGTATTTACTAGCAGGTAGTATGTCAATCAGCAGTATTCTTTGCTTTCATTTATGGCCACTTCAGTCTTTTCAGCGAACGTTTATCAAGTGTCACCATTTGTCACTTAAATTTGCCAAATACAATTCTCTTTCTGTCTCCCTGAGCCACAGTGTTGACCTGGCAACCAGACACCATTGCTAAAGCCGCAGGTGAAGTGGGCAGGACGTCATAAACTCTCAGGGGAGCCACCGAAGGCACTACCAATGAAAGTGTAATGCAGTGGAGTCTTTCTGTGCAGATAAACAGCCCCAAAGCATAATGTTTCCACCTCCATGCTTGGACTGTGGGGATGATGGGTTTTTTTGGTCATACTCTGCATTTTTCTTCCTCCAAACATGGACGGTTCAATCAGAAAGCTAGATTTAGTTTTCATCAGACTGCAGCACTCTCTTCCAAGCCTTCTCTGAATCAGTTAGCTGTTCATTGGCAAACTTAAGGATGAGCTCGTACTCATGAAACAAGATCTCGCAGGGAGATCCGGACTGAGGGTGATTAATGGTCATTTTTTATTTCTTCCATTTCTGAATAATCGCACCAACAGTGGTCACCTTCTCATCAAGTGTTTTTTGCTGATGGTTTTGTTGTCCACCTCAGCCTCGTG